TCAATTAGGAAAGGCATGAAGAAGTCACAGGTACTCAGGCCTTCTGGATCCTTCTGGCTACTCAGGACATGTAAAAGCTACATAAAGCTAGATATGCTAGGTAGAGGGGAGACCAGGTGGTGGAAATCATGGCTATGTAGGACCTCAGACTAGCCATTTCATGCCAGTTCATAGGTAAAGGTGCTGTGTTGGGCTGGGCTTGAGAGCTGGAAAAGATTCAGCATAGCTGGGAATGTTCACGCATGTCGATGATGATTGAAAGTTGGGGATAACGAAAGATTCCTGTTGGGGGAATAACCACCTCATTGCTCCAGAGAGGGTGGAGAACTTCCATTTTATAGAGAGATGTTGGGGACAGGACATGACAGGACGCAACACGGCCGTTGGATGTCATCTCCAATGCTACGACATCTCCAAGCACCATCTCAATCGCCTGGGAGCTATTTCCATGCATTTTGTCGCAATCCTGAGCAGGATGAAGGATGATGAAGGGATGAGGATTAGGACAGGATTCATTGGGCAGCGTGATTTGTCTTGATGTTTTTAGCGTATCTTGCATCGGAGATCATAGGAGCGTTGCGTAGCTTTGTGTGGCACTTGACGGGTCGCGTGTATATGCTCTGGTGTGTGCGCGAAAGGGTATTATGAAGAGTTGTGGGGTCAGGTCCCCCATTTTCTAGTTGTATATTCTTATATTATCTTATATTAATGATTTTTTAAAAAATATATATATATATGGCTATTGATATCTCAGCGTCCTTTTTATGAGCTTCCTGTGGGTTAGGCCGACTCATTTCATAGTTAAACGTCTGTACTTACAGGCGTATACACGCGATAGTTTTATTTGTTTTCCGATGGACACAATCAATCTGATCTCAGGTGCTTCCACAGGGCACGGGATACAAACAAGCGGTTCCTATCAAATGTACGTTGTGCACATCACGGAGACAACCACATGGCAAGGTGTTCGACGCTTGCAACACCAAGCCTTCGGACGCTTTGTATTTCTTGCGCCAACATCGTGATGGGCAGACACACCAGCGGCTTTTGCAAGCCCGGTTAGAAGCAGAAGTCTCCGCCAACTTGCGCAGTACTGCGATGGATGTGCCTTGCGAAGGTCTTTCTTTGAAAGACGAACGTTGTGGTGCAATGATACATCTCCAGGAACATGTGCACACTTGGGTCGCTTGGAGGTGCCTGTGCACAGAGTTGCGAAAGCACCATTTTTCCTTCACCGAGTGTGATGGCAGCTACATAGTGCGGCATGATGACTGCAAGAAGCGCTGTGAACATTTGGTTGGTCAACGGAGTGTGTGCTCGTCTTGTCTGAGCATGTCGAGGTTGAGCAAGTGTGTGGTGAAACACGGAGTCAAGAAATTTGCAGCGGAAATCCTGTTTTCAAAGCTCTATGAAAGTCAGGAGCGCTTAGCAGAACGAATCGCCAACATGAAACAGAGCTTCCTGTACGAGCGATACACATCGAGGGTGAATCAGATATTGAATTTGGATACCAGCCAGTTACAAGCTTGGGTGCGTTCGTCATTCATGAGCACACGAAAGGACCGTCGCAATGCAGAGCTTGAGAGTTTTTTGAGCAGCGTGGTTCAACCTTGCATGGGCATCAACATTTTTGCCGCAGTCAAGGCGAAACCAGATCTCATATCAGCTCAGGTGCACTTCGAACGGTTCCTGGCCAATGAGTCCATTGATGAGATGGAACGGGTGAATGTAGCAATCGCTCAAGCCGCCATTTCTGGAAAAATGCAACAGCATCCAATTCAGGGCCTCATCCTAAGTTGCCTAAGAACCTTGGAGAGAGCAGCTGACGGTTTTCATGGTCCTTCCTTGACCCGGGGGAGAGTGGCAAACGACTCGGCTTTGGCAAGTGAGAAGGCGAAGAGTTTGGCCCGTGAGGCAGGGCTCATGCTCAGCCTTGCGGGAGCCAACAAGGGTCTGTTGCGAAAATTTGGAGTTGACACCAAGGTCATGACAAGGCATTCCAACTACACGGAAAAGTTGGAGCAGGCTTCTTTGCCCATCCCGTTCCTTTCGCTCTCCAGCCACGACCAGATCCAACAGAACATGCAGATGATTGATCAGCAGTTGGCGAGGACTACTGAATCATTTGGGCGTTTCTTGGATAATTTATGATATTTTTTATACATTTTAAATCATTTTGAGTATTTAAGGACTACCCACGTCTAGAGCAGGGTTGCAGAATTTGTATTTTGTTTTTGTTTGAAAAGGACATATTGTATGATCTTTCACCGTCAGGAAGATTAGTTGCAGCCTTTGACTCAACATACTTGCTCCAAGCTCAGACACAGCATCGAGATCAACATGGCAATGTCTTTTTGGTGGGTGGTTGCTGGCAACCTGATGGTGGGGAGCAGGCCATGATTCCGCTTTCAGAGGACATAGATTTGATTAACTTTCGCAAGGCTACAGACATGCTTCTAGTCGCCCATGGCATCCCAAAAGTTTTGCTGCTTTGGAGGTCTTTGGTTTTGAGATGTTTTGAGATTGTTTTGATATGGTGTGATACTTTTAGATGCTTTTAGATTTTGTATCTATTTGGACGTCTACTTCCTGCTGAGGCTTTCAATCTTGGTTTGGGACCCCTGCGCACAGAAGCAAATTGCTCTTCCAGCAGCTGAGATTCCATATCACTGCGCAGACTACGATGGGCGCTTTGTCGTTCGCGCTCTGGACCGTTTCCTGTTTGCCAGTGCTCCCTACCTTCGAGCTATCGTTTTTGATGCAGCAACCGCTCATCAATTGCTCAGGCGGGCATTCTTTGGAACGTTGACGGATCAAGACACGAGGATCCTCAATGACCCCACCCTGAAATTCTTCAACAGGCTCCACTACAAGCCGATGCCCGAACACATACTCCCACGTTTACCCATTAAGTTGGCGTTTTTCGAGGGAGAGGCATTTTGCGCATTGCCTGCCCCATGTGGCTTTATTTTTTTAGCTGAAGATGTTTGTTGATATTTGATTCAAAGATTTTCAATGGCCCCACAATCTATTTTCTCTACTTTGGTTTTGTAATGTTTTGTAATGTTTTTTGCATCTTTGACTATCTTAGGCCACGCAGGAAAGAATGCAGGGGGTCAGGTTTCCTCGTGCATTCGCACGATCTTTCTAGGAAAACATTGGGTTGACCTGGCCGGAAGCTATATGAACGGCATGCCAGCAAAAGCGTTCATGCGCATAGACCAGCAGTCAGACTGCCTGCAGGCATTCTTGGCTTGTCCGTGGTATTACGTGTGCAACATGGACGGTGATCCCAGCATGCTGAGCGTGAACTGGTCAAACAAGGGAGCGCTCTTATGGAGCCTGAGCACTGCGCTCTGTGTGGCTCCCTCATTACACAAGGGGTTGACTGTGAAGGAGCGAGCTGAATGCGCTCTATCTGGCTTTTTGGCTTGGGATCTTTGGCAGCTCACAGCTGCAAGGAAGGAAAGTCAGGAAGGTGCACGTGTAGGTGAATACTCCATGGCAGCCGTCACCGTGGAGAATTTGCAGAATGTTTGCCTCAGCGTCCTAACTATCCTCCTCACCAAGCCAGCAACTTGAAAAAACACAGTAAAGAATTTAGAGGATTTACAGCAACTCAGGGGGTGGAGCAGGTCATTTTATAGAGCTCAGTTATTTATATACTGTATATATTTATGATTCTATATCTTTTGATATATGATATTACTTTTTGGGATTGCAATGAACTACTATATATCCTGTGCTCATTAACGATTTCACAGGTGATGTCAGGGTCTGTCCTGGCATTTTATAGAGATATATGATTGAATGTTTTTTTTGAAAACCTATACAGCATTGGTGAGGCTTCATGGACCCCGTGGATGTGGGGAACCCTGAGAATGAGTGAGATCACGATTGAGCAATCATTTGGCCACCTTCGCCAATCCCAGGCGAATGCAGAGCTGTCCGTTGAGACCTTTGTCAGGACGAGCGCCCTATATGCTTTGCAGAAGATGGCCAAGGCTGAGTGCCCATCGAATAGCAAAAAGGTAGAGGAGCCTGCCCTGACTGAGAAACAGTCACCCGATTGCTTAATGTTCCAAGTTTTTTCTACTATGTAATATTTTTTCACCTAGATGTGTGAAGTCTGAGCGGTTGGTGAATTTGATTTGTTTTTGTTTGCATTTTGTTTTCTATTGGTTGTCTCAACTCAGGTTTCAGAGTTGCTGCCAGAAAGCCTTTGACTCAGCTGTTGCACTTGTATCTTGGGCTGGTGGCTTCGAAGCAGATTCCCTAAAAAAGTACTACACAGAATGCTGCAGCGTGAACTGGTTCCAGACCATGCAACAAGCTGCGCCAGAGTTTTGTGAAGACGACCAAGAAAGCGACAATGAAGACGACGCTTTGCGCAGTGCTCGCACTCCGCATCCTGACCTGTTTTACTTTTTATTTTTTTAAGTTTTTAATTTAATATGTTAAAATTTTGAGTCATTGTCTATATCTTGCCATTGTTTTCTATTTTGTTTTTGTTTTGAGTTCGAAGCCAAACAACCTAGATCTGACCCACTAGCTTTCCCAGGACGACTGCAGAGAGCTGCAAGCATGTATTGGTGGAAATCCAGAGACTTTGTCAGGACCAGGGTAGTGCAGAGGAAATGCCAGAGCCTTCCATGAAGGAAACAGATCTGAGGCGTCTTGATGAATCTGATCGCAAGAGCTTCTTGGAGAAGATGGAGAGTGCGCGTGTGGAGAAAGAAGGCAAGCTCGGGTCTTCCCAAAAGTATCCGCGGACCCTTGAATATGCCATGCTTCTCGTCATTCCTCATCTAATGTTTTTATTTTGGAACTATTAGATTCTTTTTTTAGATTTTTTTAGTATATATGTCCTTATATGTCAACTTCATTCAACTTCCATGAATTCTTTATATTTCCCCAGTCCCTACTCTAAGGAACTGTGGAGGCAACCGATGGAATGCGCTGTGGCGCTACACCGTCTTTTTGAGGTGTGGTGTGGACGGGGCTGATGGCGCGTGGCTGCCTGGAAAGCCAAACACCGTTTCGGAGAAGACAGGCTGGTATCAAAGGAACCTTCACATCCTCAGCAGGGCAGCTCAAGAGTCGAACCCTCTCTCAAGACAAGGCGCCCGCAGTTCCAGATTTGAGCGTTGGATTTCACAGGGCAAAGTAGTGCGGGAGGCTCTTGCTGGTGGTTTACAACAGCCTGAAAGCTTGCAGTAACTTGGACGTGCAAAGTATTTTTATTGGGTGGAAAACTCTTTGCATGTCTTGTGTCCTTTTGATGTCCCTTAGTCTCCTGGAATCCTGAAAATTGATAAAAAATGTTTCTTTATAGGATTTTATAGGTTTAGTTGGCTGTTTTTGTTGAACATGGATGACTCCGGTAAGGTCAGGCCATGTCATCATCTACGTTCGCCAAGATGGTACCATGAAGACCGGCCTGGTAACAACGGTGTGGAAAGCTGGTAAGAAGAAGAAGATCGTGGTGACCCCATGTTCTTTGACCGGTTGCCATGCTTTTCGCGCTGTGGAGTTGACGCAGAATCAGGACCTTCTATATGACTGCGTTAGGCTTTTCATGGTTTTTTATTTTTAATTTGCATAAAAAATCATAAATATATGTTCAAAGTACAATTTTTTTATTTCTTGTTTTCTCGTTATTTTATCAGATATTTTTGAAAATATTTTTACTGTAATTGATTTCGGGGTTCTATTTTTTCATATTTTTTCGTTCTTTTACCAATTCTCACCAGCATGTTCTTTGATGTTTTTTTGATTATAGCTTTTTGAATATTTTTGATATTGTTTGATTTATGTTTTCACCATTCAGCCGGAGGAAGATTCCACAGAGTTCAAGTGTACGGGAGAGAGTCCCTGCAGAGTCTATCCGTTTGACGCGCTTGTGGCCATCCTGGATTGCAAGCCGGAAAGTACCTAGCCACAGGTTTACCAGCATGTGTTGATCATTTTTGTTCTATAAAAAGCCATTCCCAACCCTTGCATGAGATACAAAACCACAGGACATCAGATTCAATTGCAAGACCACTAGACGCAGTGTCTTTGCTAGCCACATCTCGCTAGTAGCTATTGATTTTATGGTCTGAATCAGGGTTGGGTCAAGTCATTTTATAGAAACGCTTCTCTCATTCTAGCTTCTATCATTGTCTATCAATACTTGGGACTGCCTTCAAAAGACCTGACCAAGTATTAGATCATGTATGATAATGTTTCTTAGATTTTATTAGATATGTCACCTGCCAACGTTGTCTTCTTGGAGCTGAGGCAAGCGGAAGCCCTATGAGTGCGTTGAGACCTTCTACGTAGAGCTGACTGAAGAGTCTGTTGCTGCAACCAAGAGCGCGGGAAAGCATGTAGCCGGGACATGGCTCACCGGTGGTCCTCAGAAAGCGCCCAGGATCAGGCGAAAGCGCGTTTTCAAGGTTGCAGCTCGGGCTGTGAAGTCTATCCAGTCTGCCAAGAAAAAGGCTTCCAAAGGGGTGCCTGGGAAGTCAGCCTCTTCCAAGCCTTCCGTGATGCCAGTCAAGAAGAGCGCGTTGAAGCAGAAGAGTGTGTCCATCGAGCCAGTGCCTCAAAACTTTACCCGCTCATCCACGGGGTTCAAGCTGATTCGTGAGCAGATGTCAGCTCTTCGCAACCTGGATCGGGCAGCGTTTGCAGCGAAGCCGGCCTTCGCAGCAGACACTGGAGCTTGCCGTTTGCAGTATCTAGACTTGTATTATCTTGTATTTGCGCAATGATTTTTTTTGGCCATATTTTTTTGATTTTTTAAATATTTTTTTTTGGTAGTTGCTGACTTGAAAGATCTAAAAATTTTGAACATGTGTATTTTGTTTGGGAAGTTATCAAATGAGAGTCCAGGTGTGCTGCAGCAGCCGGTGTGACGTGGGACAAGATCCTTGACAGGGCGCCTAACTTCTTCATGGCTGAGTTCCGTATGAGGTCCAGAGATATTTGGGGCTCCCAGGTCTACGGCTACCTTCAGAACATCCGTTCTCAACTATCCAGCCAGCCTCCAATTCGGACTTCGTGGTTGAAGCTCCTGCGTGAGCTATGTGAATTCCCAGATTGTTCATAGATGTACGTAGGTGTAATTAGATATACAGTCTTTTCATGTCTGTTGCGTTTGAAGTGATGCAGTTTCACAGGATCAGTAAGGGTCTGTTGGGATTCCCTTAGTTCATCATGTTTCCATGTTGGTTTTCTCTGGCTATATCTGATTATTTTTGATTTAATGTTCTGAGCATACCAAAGTTGTTATGTATTGATTGATTTTTGAATATTTTTGGATATGTTTTGGGATGACCAAAGATCCTCCTTGATCTTTTTGGGTTGTTGGGGGGATTGTGCCCAAAGAGCTCCTGATGTTGGACGTGCACCGGGAAGCGGGCGCATGGATCATTGAAGAGATCAGAAGCGCAGAGAAAAAATGAAGGCACTGATGACAGCAGTTCTCAGCTCTATCCACAGTGGTGATGGACATAACTGTGACGTCAGTCCAAGTCAAATCATAGAGAGCCAAAAAATGGTCAGCGCAGTCAAATTATATGTCAGCACGTTAGCTTCACCACTTTATATCTATAAATTGGCCCCCAAGTCCCCCCAGCCAGTTTGGACACGGGGATCAAAGATGTCATGACTACGATCCGTGAAGTAGGGCGCGTGTGCATGTTTGAATTCATCCGAGTTGTGCAGTTTTGATTAAATCGGATATTTTAGCTTTGAGAACCCAGGCATGATTGGGGATCAGCTGCTTAGGTGATATCTAACATCGAGTAACTGAAACACCTTGACAATGCAGTTTTGAGATATCTTGTTTGCTTCCCCCGTTAGATGTTTCCCCCATGCACCAGGATCACTTGCACTTCTTCCGGAATTTTCGTTTCGTCGAGGAGGCGAGCCGCAATGAATTGCGTCCGAATCGTGTCCGAATGTCTCTCCAGCTTACCTGGGTGATGGTTTCTGATATGTTTTATGTATATGAATATGTTCAACATGGTTCAACCTTTACTTGGGATGATGGATTTCCACTGACTCATATTTTTCAAGTGAGTTGACACCACCAACCAGTTACAAATTAGGGCTTGTGCCCTTTGCGCAGGGAGTTGGACTTGAGCACGATGTGTTTTTCTTTTCAGGTCTTCATTCAGCAGCATCATCCATAGAATCTTCCTTCATAATCAGTTAGTTCTTGTGGTTGTCAGAGATCACTCAGTAGGCTCAGACAAAGGCGAACCCCCCCCAGCCCAAAATGATGTTCATGGGATTCATGGCCTGTTGTTGGTGCAGTCTGGTGCAGTCTTGGGGGGGTTCCGACCACGGCACAAAAGCAGTGCACTCTTCGGTGGAACTTGGAGGCTCTCACTTCAGGAGTCCATGCCATCAGCAAGACACGAAGAGCCTCCAAGTGAAGTTCCCACCGGGGAAGTGAAGCTTCTCATGCCATTTGAGACCCTCAGAAGCGCCAGAAGCTCCCCCCAGAAGGGTCTGAAGATGGGTCTTAAGTGATTCGTCCTGCATCATGGTCCCCAGAGTGACCTACTCCCCCAAACACCTCAACACTAAGTGTGTGTCCGAAAGGAACCTGGGCCCCAAAGGCCGAGCGCATATATGACCAGAAGAAGAACCGCCCCAACACCATCAAAAGCCTTGGTGAGAAGGCTGTTGCCTTCTATGGGATGTTTTTCCACGTTATACGTAAAAGTGATGGAAGTGGTGCTCGCTTCCAGGTTGAGACGCAAGCGGTGCACTGGATCCAAGGTGGGGGCGTTTTTCGCGGGCGGATCGCCTCTGGCGGATGGGCGGTTGCAGGTAAGAATCTCGCGACCTGCGCGACGGGTGGCGACCCAGTCTGAACATCGAACATCGAATATCAGGACCAGAAGAGGCCCGGGAGCCCCGCGAAAGACTGGTTTTCTCATTGAGACTGAACATGACAGAACAATTCCAAACAGATTGTTTTACATTTAAGAATGTGAGGACCTTGAAACCCGTGAAGACCGCATGTTTTTGTGTTTGTTGGCATCGGCATCACTTTGAAGATCAAGACGCGGCTGCACTATTATTCCAAGTTGCCGTTCAAACTGTCCATCAAGCTGTGATCAGGTAGACGTCTATGGGGCAAGCTCCCAAGAAGAGCCTAGGAAGCACAAAAAGCTTGAGAAAACCTAGCCCAACCTTGATGTGGCTGGAGGCAAAAAGGAATGGGGTCTTGGACATGCAGAATGCTGTTTTTCAGATTCTTGTTTGGGTCCAACCACCACCATGCGGTTGTTCAGCACCAGGGAGCGGTGGAGTCTCAGTAGGAACCTCTCCACCCAGTTTCAGGCCTTCCAACGCCCTACCTGGCCATCCATATGACGCTCGGCGCAGGGCAGGTGGCCTTTGGAGCAGGACAGATGACCCAGAAGGGGGTCCCTGTGGTTCCCACCTGTTCCCACTTCATGGGATGTTGCTTTATTTTCTGGATTCATTTTAGAGAGCTTAGGGGCGTTAGGGAAGTGGTTCGAGAGTGGGTCGCCCTCGGTCAAATTGCACGCCGATGTGCTCACTGTCACTGGTAGCCCATGTATCCTGAAGATCTCTATCAACCGCTGCTCCTTCCCCGAAGGACATTCTGTGGGGATGTCCCGTTGCTCGTTGCTCCGCCGATGTGCTCGGTCCGATTCACTCACATCCAGTGGCGGAGAGGGGGGGTCTGGGACTCAGCTTGGATGGCATATAGAATCATATAGCTGCCGAAGCCACACCTCCTGGGCATTTTCCTTTGGCCGATGTCGCGCAAAAAAAACAAATTCGCCCTCCATCCGTTTCGGGGTGTCACCAAGAGTGCCTGGCGCTCGCCATTGGCGTCACCAGTCTGGGCTCCTTGCCGCCCAGGAGGCCGTACCTGTTTCGAAGTGAAGGCGGGTCAATGCCGTCGTGACTGCTTTGTTTGAGCTGTCGGTGTCAGGGTGGAATGTATTGCATGTGATCCGGCTTGAGTATCATCCGGTATCGGGGTCAGCCAAACTAGAGGCAACCATGATAGGCAAATCGATTGACTCTTCAGGCTTCATTGATGTTCAAACAGCTTCAACAAGTAATTTGATGTCATTTTCGGCCCGCATATGTAGGTTTGAAGCATTCGTTCAAACAGCCTGGCCACCCACCCATAGCCTTCTGGACGCTTCTTTCGCTTCACCCGTGGGCCCTTCGCCACTTCATCTCCTGATCATCACCTGGTCATTCCAACTCAGCAAGGTCAACCCACTCAACCTTCAATCCAGCATAGGTCCTCACTATCTATGACTGAGAATCACCTATGTTGCGTTGATGTCTATAGTGATTCTCAGTCATAGATAGGATTGCACGGTGTCCAACACATTTTCTACGTGGGGATTAATTACTTTTCTATCGATTTGGGGTCTATATAAAGAATTCTAAAGATGCATGATGTCAGATGTCAGGGATGCTTTGAGGGGACAGATGCATATGGAGATCTAGGAAGAAGCAGAACATATGACTCTTCGAACGCATGAGGCTCATTCAAACCATTTAAAACCCAAGGTTTTTGAGTCAGCAAAAGGGAGTGCTCCCAAGAGCGCTTCAGCTAATGCACTTTAGTTGTGCCCCAAACCAGTGTGCGACCACGGAGGGGTCATGAGAGAGATGTTGAATCCGTGCCTTCTCCGCTGAGAAGGCTTCAACGAGTCCACCATCGAGGCCATGTTTCTTCAAGAGCTTCGTCATGCCTTGTATCAGCTCCAGCGCAGGCGCCAGCGGCGCTTGCGCGGCGCGCAAGGAACGGCCACCAACGGCACGGTGAAGGGGTGAAGCTGTGACCTGTTACGAAGAAGGAGATGGCGCTGAACTGTGGCGGTGGTGGTAATGATGTTGCATAGTCATTTTTTGATATCTATATATTTCTATAACTATGTATATTTATATACATATATATATATTTGTGTGTGTGTATGTGTGTGTTTTTAAAAAATACACTTTCATAGGTGCATCCATATATGCACCTATACACATGTAGATATATGTGTCTATATACCTTTGTAAGGAGATATGGGGAGTACTGGGCTCGTTTGGCAGCGCTGCGCACTGCGTGCCGAGCCTGGCGGACCTATCGGACCAACTCGGGGTGCTCCTCCCCGAGGGCCGGTACACGTTTTGGTACCATCTTCAGTAGATGAGGATAGATAAGGTGCGTTTGAACTATCAGCCACTTTAAGCACTGGGGTATTCATCATTGTGTTATCATTCCTTTTGATTCACATGTGCCTTTGCAGCCCTGTGACTTGAGACAACATCTCCAGTTCTGTGCTGTTGGCAGTTTGACAACTGCGCGCCGCATCCAGGGGCTCGAATCTAGTACAGTAACTATAGTGCCTGTTTTGGCAAGTTCCGTGCTTTCATGGAGCTCTGAACTGGGTTTAGGAGCGTTTGCTTCGAGTGCCAAAGAAGAGGAAGCTAGGAAGAGCTGATTCATAGAGTCCTCCAAGACTTGCCAGCGAATGGCTTTGGCCATATTTTTGATCATTACATTCCTGAGATCTGGTCTGGGAGGCAAATGCAAGGACTTTCGCAAGGACTTATGCCAAGATCCGGGGTCTCTATGTCAGATCCTCACTTGGCATAAGAGATGCTTTCAACTGTTTTCTTAATGCGCATTTTGCACAAGCAGGGGTCGAAAAAGTTTAGCTTCGTCAATCATGGTATTTGTGATGGTAGGATTGATTCCTTAAGCTAGGTTCTTCTGAAAGCTTAGAGAAGAATACGTTTGATTGACGGCACGTTTGATTGACGGCACTGTCAATCAGTAAGGATCAGCTCATTTGAGGACTGTCCGTGTGCCGAAGGCTTCTGGCCACAAATTGACAGCTTCACAGAGCCAGAACTTCGCTTCGGATGCTGTCCTGGCAACGGCGTCACTGCGTGTGGTCCACAAAGAACATCAATGACAACCTGTGCGCAGGTCACCTTAGCACAAGCTTTGAATCTTATATGATATATGGCCAAAGTTAGGTGAGTGTTCAGCCTTTTGTCTCTTTACTTTTGGTTTCGAGGGCCAAGGGTTGCACTTTTTACACTTGGAGTTTGGACCAGTGAGGCTTTGCATTTTGCTAACGACCTTGGTGATTCACCATAGGCAACCCCGAGCTTGGAGGATCAAGAGCGGGGACTCTGCCCTTGAGAACTCATCGCTCGTCCTTGATGGTGCCAAGTTGCACGCAACTCGACCCACCGCCATTGAATCTGCAACTGGCGATTTCTTGGTCCAAGAATTGAAGCCGGAGAAGAGGTGAACATATGGGGGTTCCACAAGGATTCTGATTCAACCTGTCCAAAGTTGGCTTCTAGTAGCGATTTCCCGAAGAAGTTAATGAACTGTTCACACTTCTTGACGAGTTGCAACCGTGCTCAGGCAGAAGTTCCAATGGAACGCTGGTGCATTAGCCTTGAGGACCTCAAGCAGTTTAAGCGACTGGTGAGTCAAGCTGTGAGTGACGGTCGCATCAGCCCCACTGAGAGCCTTGGGCTACACTTGGACATCAATCATTTAACCTTTTGACAGCGTACCAAATTTTGAGGAGACCCCCAAAATATCTAGTGAAGCTTTACCATTGACTTGTGGTGTCTCGACCTTGTGCCATTTTGCTGGGAGAAAAACCCGCCACAGGATGAATCCATTTGACCCCACAGACTATAGCATCGGCCCCTCGATGTACACGGTGACCGAACAGTACATCAAGCCGGTGACGGCTGCTGCTGGAAATGTGAGCTGGGCCTTGATGAAACATCCCAGCGGCTTGCCATGCGACGTTTTCATCACCCACGCTTGGGCGGAAGGAGTTTTTGAGTTTATTGACAAGGTGTTTTCAAGCTGGCCCCAGGGTGGGCGAGCGGCGTACGTGTGCTTCTTATCCAATCCTCAGAACCTGGACATTGCCGATTTGATTTCAACACCTGAGCAATCTCCCTTTGCAAAGGCATTGGACTCCTGCAGGCATGTCATTGCAGTCCCAAATCGCGTATGTAGCATCTACTCGAGACTTTGGTGTGTCTACGAGGCCTTCCTGGCTTATACTTGGAACAAGCCCATCACCAATGCAACATCGCTTGAAGCTCAATTTGCTTGTGCATTTTTTTGTCAGGCCCAAAGGGTCCAGGACCATCCTGAGGATTGTCCTGGGCCCCCAGAAAGGCAATTCATACTTTGGCCTCCAAGACTATCCAACAAGGAGGTACTTGGACCCTATGAGACTACCCAAAGGTTCAGCATTTATCCAAGACAACCAACATGTGAGGCTTATTTAAGTGCCGTCTAGCGCAAAGACACATGGCCCCACAATATGCGTGCACACCTCCCCACTGCAATGGTTCAATCTGCTAAACAATATGCTCCCAGCCTCAAATCAGAGACGCCGGGCCCTATGGCACCAAGAATTTGGCCAATCCCGGCCAACCCATGGACAAGGCTTAAGGATAGATGGATTTTTCACGTTTCAATTCACATGATACAATATGTCGAATCTATGCTTGTGGCTTGCAAGGATTTCAATGCCTGGGCCTACTTGCTGCGGATATTCTTCATTGGCCAAGTGAGTGCCTCCGCAGGTTTGCTGTTGCCATTGAGGCTTGCAACGAGGTGCTACTTGCCGACCACTACCCTGGTGATGCCATTCATGGTCCTTTTCCTCCTCTCCCTTGGCCAGTGTGGTGACTTACCCTTTGCAAGGCTGCTTTACAATTGATTTGGGTTTACACACTTACTGGTCTTGTTTCCTTCTTTTGGATTGAACCTTGAACGGACACCAACATGCACCCAACATCCTTCGCATGGCGGACGAGATCGAGGGACATCGGGAATCTCAGCAAATCTGAAGGAAATATCAGAAGATTCGAGGTCGCAGGTCGAACACAAAAGGAATGAACCGCCAATGTTTGTTCTTGCATGTTCATGTTTTGTTTTGGTCTGTTCGGTTTTGTCTATGTTGCGTATCGGAATCCATCAATTTTTGCACCAGAAATCACCGTCAGAACGACTTGGCGCCGGGCTGGGACATTCTGACATTCTTGGTCGGCTTTGGAACATACCAGCAACACCTGGCTCCGGTATTTTTGGTGTTTTTCTTTGGTGAGTGAGGTGGATACAAACCTCATTTGCAGAAGTTTGCAGTGATTGGCACCACCATCTTCGCCAATGTCAGCTACGCGTGCGACGTGAGCATGGGACGTGCTTTGTTTGACGAAAACTGGCTCTTCGCCGTCGAGTACATCTGTTTGGGCGTCTTTGGAACCATTGCGATGGACAGCTGATATTGCTGAGAGTATGCTTTTCTTTTTGCTTCCCCCCCCACATGAATCGAGCTTTATTCATTAGATAGGTCGGTTTGTTCTGCTTGGCCTCATGAGAAAGGCAACAGACCATTATGCTGCTTTTGGGCGTCTTTGGGTGTTCTTGCATATTTACCCCTACCTGAGGAAGATAAGCACCGTCAACCGCCCTAAACCGTGCCCCAAACATGAAAAAGGCCGACAGTCCAAATCATAGATTGATCAACATCGAAGCTATTAGGTTGGAGGCCATGGCTATTCCTACACTCGGGAAGAGACCCACATGGAACCTTAGTGAAGCCACGTCCGGTTGCAGAGGAAGACCAGTCGTCTTCCAGTCTGGTCCTTGACATCGGGTTCCATGTGGGACCAGACATCGGAAGTGTGTCCTCCTCAAAGGGGTGCTATCCATGGAGGTTAGGGGTGCCCATTATCCACTCACTTAGGGACTAAACACCACCCCTTTGTGACCCCTGGCTGACATCGGTTGCTTTCAAATCCGTGGCTTGATGGAGGTAACGTGGAGCTGAAGAATCGGCCATGCGTTCGGTCCTGAAAATTCCCGCCGTAACGGCGGAAGACGTGTTCTTTGAAGGTTTGATGATAAGTGATTTGCAGCCATGCAAAAGTTCAGCCAAGGGAATATGCATGAGAATGGTTCTGATTTCGCAACACTTTGCAACTCAACGCGCAAGTTTTTTTCACTTATAAGACCTTCGGAAAGGCGTTTTTGTTCACACAAGTGTCTTGAAGGTCATTACTGAAACGTTTACTGCAGGTACCTGAGCTGTAGTTTATTTGTATTGTATTTACACTAGATTTGGATGTTGCATAGAAGCATTTATAATTGAAATAAGCACGCTTCACTACACAAAGGAAAACACAGTGAGGCACGTGTAACTGCATCCTAGTTTGCATCCTTACATCGCTACCAGCACGTCATTACCCCCCACCTCCCCACCCCCAACCCACCCCATCAGCCGCAAGCCAGAAACAGCATGAAGGCCAAAAGCTTTGCAAGGAGCAGCCGACATGTATTATTTGATGTCCCTTTTTCTCGGCAGAAAAGGCCCACTTGACACTCAAGCTGCTCAAACTCCACTTCTGCAGCAAGCCATCTCTGAAATCCCAACTGCCCAGCCCTTGGCCTTTTCCGCTGCAAAGAGAAGACTCAGGGGAACCATCGTCATTCACACCATGTTCTGGGTGTTTTGTTTCAGATCTTTGTACGTCCTGTCACAAGATTAGGCTCCAGCCATCGCCCACTTCCCATGACAGGGTTTTCTGAACTCTTCCTACGACTTGTTTGACCAAGTCGTCTTCCACACATGCCATGAAGCATCATGAACCCGATGCTTCAACAGCATGGTGGCCGAGTACCATTCGACCAACATGAGCAGAATGCGCCATAGGCTGTTGGACCGGATGCTGTGGGTACTGGTCCAGCTCCCAAGCCTGCGCAGCAAGCTCAGCTGAGGAGGAGTTTAGACTAAGTTAACAGCACCATGGCATGCAAAGCTGGACATGGTCCTGAACCCAGCGAGTTGTGCATACCCATTCATGAGGGTGTGGATGTTTGCCAACAAGGACAGGTTCACCCTGATCAGACAACAACCACCCTCCTTCACAAAGACCAGCCGCCTCCTTTACAAAGACCTTTGTGATCGGAACCTTCGTGAGTGCTCCCACACGGTAGGTGGCAAGCATGGAGTGCCGCTCTAAATGAGAACTGAAAAATGCACCATGTCACCGATGCTCGTCTCCCAGTTCATCATGCTATCATCTGAGTCCGTGGCACTTCCTATCCAAGGTGCACGCACACATACACATCAGCTTGCTTCTTTTGTGACATTTGTTTAGATAGATAGATAGATAGATAGATAGATAGAGAGGTAGATAGGTCGATAGGTAGATAGAAAGATAGATAGATAGATAGATAATGAGAGATTGAAAGATAGACAGATAGAAAGAGAGATATATATATATAGAGAGATAGAAATGTAGATAGATAGATAGATAGATAGATATAATGATAATGATAATTGTAATGATAATGGTAATGGCAATGGTAATGATAATGGTAATAGTAATGATCATGATAATCATAATGGTAATGATAGTGTTAGTGGTAATGATAATGATAGTGGAATGATAATGGTAATGGTCACGGTAAAGATAATGATAATGGTAATGATAATGAGAATGGTAGTGATAATGGTAATGGTAATGGCAATGATAATGATCATATTGGTAATGGTAGTGGTAATGATAATGATAATGGTAATGGTAATGATGATGGTAATTGTAATGGTAATGGTAATCGTAGTGATATAGATAGATAGATAGATAGGTAGATAGATAGATAGATAGATAAATAGATAGAGGAGACAACACGAAAAGCGTATGTTGGGGTTGCTGTGGTTTTTGATGTTGTACGAATCTCTAAAACTTACTTGCCATCCCCAGATCTGCTGGTTGCCCGGCAGCCCTCTCAGTCTCAGGAACTCGACCGCTTGAACTCTCTGTCGGCGGATAAGGCTGCAGAAGACCTACGCCGAGGCTTTAGTGGACACTTGTCGGAGGCAGGCTGCTCAGACGAAACTGACAGGCTGAAGATCCTGGAGGAAGTGAAGAAGAGTGGCCATGAGACTCTTTGCCCAAGCTTAACGTGAACAAGGTACTTGTAGATACGACTCGAATCGACTACATTTTTTTTTTTGTGTGTTTCATCACTGTTGGAACAAATTGGAACAAAAGCAATCCAGTTGGTTGAAAATTATGTCTTTCTCCACGGTGGCGCCACAACATCAACTTGCGTAAAGACACCTATATAGATCTTGGTAGGGATGTGTTTGCTGCCTTTTCCAAACACGTTGCTTTGAAATGTTCGAGGCGTTTGTGTTTTTGCTTCATATTTTCGAGTCCAACTTGTCAGGCAACGAAAGTGACAGCATTATTCTGGCAGGGATTGGGTCAAACCATGCTAACGCCGCCAAACGTGCAGCAACCCATATACTTGCGGGAATGGGTTTCGGTATGTTTTGCTCAAGCCAATCTATATTCTTTCCCCAGAGCCAACCCAAACTCATGCAACAATACAGATTCTATGCACACGGCTTTGGTCCAACCAGGTCCCCGTCTCCATTTTCCTGGGGCCCTGCTCAGATGAACACCTCCTGTCGGGATGTCATAGGCCGCAACGGTTTACATCGGTCCTTGTCCTTCAGGACCGATGTCGAAGAAACCGTGAAGATGCTCATCAAGATGAGCATCTCTACCCCGGAGCTCCGTGCGACGGTCGAACGAACCGGAACATTGACGGATGCTGCCCACTGGAGTCGCGCCATTCTGGTTGCAACATTCATAGCATTCACAGGCCAAACTCCTGTCGTACTGATCCACGATGGACACTTCCTACTTGGTGTCCCTTACGGGTGGCTCCACTGGTTGCTCACTATTCTCTCCATAATAGAGGCGCTCGTGTTTGTGGGGCTTTTCATCCTCCTCCCTCCGGACCGCAAAGCCTTTGCCGCCCGGGTTCAGTCGTTTTGGCTGTTACTTTGGCCTGTGAAAGTCTTTGGCTTTTGCGGCCAAGGGGGCGAGGGACATCCTGCATATTACCTGGTGTCAGTTTGCATTTTGCCCCCACTCCTGCTGGCCCTTTCGATCCTGGGACCTGCCCAGACGGCACGTATCCCGTTCGTGGGGCCACGGCTGGTTCGCTTGGTCTTCGGCAAGCCGCGGTGCCTCAAGAGGTTGGGATGCTGTGCTGGAAGGAAACGGATGGGCCAGGACAACAAGAAATCTCCATTGCCCATGTATGGCTTTTCCGAGAGGTGGAGGTTTTGAGATTTTGGGGGTGCACCACGTGTCGTGAGCAGAAAACAGCTCGATGACTAAGGTGACATGACATAATTCAATCGCACATGTCGTAAAGTTCCCTTCAGAGTCTACAAGTGACTCTTGTCTATAGAGCAAATATGAGCAAATCGCTCGTCCAAGATGCGCTCAAAGAAGCATCAAATTGGCGAAGCATGCTGGAACACGCGTGCAGAGGCAACTTGCAGTGTGACGAAACACGCGGAATCAGGTCAGAGCTACACACTTCAAATCGTGGCATCCCAGCAGATAGGATGTGGAATTATTATATATAGATGCGGCAGCCCCCAATCAGAGTAAGTCTTGGCAGCAAAGGTAACGCGTTGCAGAGGGTTAATCGAATATATCGCGCAAGAAGCGCATAGCGGCATATCATGTTCATTTGCCTTACACTCTCAGAGGAGATTTAGTGAGATTTAGCCGATGTAGCCCCTATTTGCCAGGTGCATGCTTGTAACATCTTGTACCTATATATAGTGTTGACATGTGTTGACCAAGCGTCCTCAGTGAAGCTGAAAGGCGCTGAAAGGTGTTCACAGTGTTCACACGTTTCAACAGTGTGTTCAAATATGATCACATCGTCACACCCGGTGTTGTATACTCTCGGGTCACACGGGTGGACCTAACGACGTGGGACCGGGGGCCACGCAGGGGTGAATCAATGAGGTCGCATTCATGGCTGACATGCAGCTTGCATACACATATAATTAATTGTAATAATCATATATGTTTAACGAACATGAACATGCATACACATGGACAGTGTGTTTATACATATTTATACAAATGTTTAGACAGAGACAGGGCTTGTTGCGGCAACTGCCCCTTAATTGCCATTACCACGAGATTGTCCCATTCACACTTACCGACCTCTTTTGGCATGTTTTGTTTCATGAAGAGCCTACATTAGGGCCTTTCCATGGTCTTTAACTTTCTGAGGAAACAAGCCTGCCAGGTGGGGCCGGCCACCCGGCGTGTTCTTGGCCTCGGAATCAGTGCAGGACCGGGCGACGGGAGAGGACCCTTTGGATGTGTTCTGTATCACGTATACATCATCATGAAGTGAGCCTTAAGTCGCTGTTGATTAAGTCTCCTAAAGAGCAAGTGATGATTGCCAAAGGTTTAGGCAAGGATGTTGATCTCTGCGGACTGACATAGACATTTGTTTTGTGCATCCGTGTGCATCCATGTCAATCGTTTGGAAACTTCTTATAGTCCATTTGCCACGTGCTATGCATCGTATCCCATGAGAACAGCAATCAGAACACCTGGCTGCAAAGCATATCAATAGTTTTTGTACTACTGGGCTCTTTAAAGCATCAAGCGCCTTGCGTCCTCCAGGAGTCTGGTTTTCAAAGCTCTCCTAATACAACTTCACCCGGGGAGATGAACGCACTTCCTGCCAGCAAGACCGGCTTGAGCCCGTGGTTCCTTCCAGTCCGTCGCGGACCAACCAGGAGAACAACACCCAGAGGCTCCTGCAGATGCTCAACGACTTGGACCTGCACGTGATCACGTCGGAGGACCCGTGATAAAGACATGAGGCGCCCAGCAGCAACCTGGGAGGGAGCTCCGGATCGGAGGAGATGTGAGAGATGGTGTTTCTTCGTTGGTTGGACCTCCCTAGGAGCGAACAAACACCACGCTGCAGCGACTGTACCGGAGGGCGGACTGTCCGACGATGTTCGTGGGTGGGTGGGTGGACTCGGTTGGACAACACCACAGAGTCATAGTATGTCATAGTTAGTTTGCTCCTAACAAGATCTAACAAGTACCAGAAGGTCAGTTTTCGTACCTGAGGGAGGCAGGTTGGACAACACCGGAAGGAATCCTCCGTACCAGCAAATCCATTTTCTTTCTTGGGGTGCATGGCATGGACGAGTGCGGATGCGACACGTGAATATTGCAGACCAGCGCAAACGTTTTCGAAGAGGTTCGAAGTCTTTGAAGAAACTGTTAGCGCCAGGAGTTTAGAATTGAGCTGCTCCCATGTTGACCATGGGTGCGCTTTATCCGCGCATTGAGGATCTCAAAAACCTGAACATCAAAGATGAGTTCAAAGATGCATTGCTCTCCAAAAAACCGCTGCCTTTCAAATTCGTCACAGACAAACCGAGGAACCGACCGCTGTTGTCCGGAGACGCCAAAAACCGCCGAGCCGCACACGTGCAGGACACCAAGCCAACGCATGGTGGTGGCGCAGCCCAGCGGTCCGCGGTTCATATTGTTACCTCCGCGGGGCTCCTTCAACCTCTTGCTAGTAAGAACCTAAGATCAAACCTGAGCACCATTGGGTTGAGCTTTGTAAGTTTCACGATGTTTCACGTGGATGCCAGAATGGGGGAGCTGTAGAGAACACACATTCATGTGAACTGAGGGAGCCTACTGTGATCTGTGATGGCCATGATGAGACAGTAGTAGAAAGAAGAAACTTGCGATGCTTGAGATGTGGAACATCATTCAAAACTCTAATGATGCTCTAAATGACTTCAGGTCAATGGTTTGGAAACTGCCATGTGCTAAGCCTGGGAAGATTACCTTTGTCCAACCATGGAGTTATACAATGCCAAGTGTCTTGGAGTTGTAGTTGCTGAACAGTTTTTGCAGGGCCTTGATCATCAGGTCGCACCGTCCTTTTCGCTTGATCCGTGGGCTGAGCTACAAAACCCTAGGTTGGCCGCTGAGTGTGCCGCAAATGTTTGGCTTCAAATGAGCCGCTCTAAAAACCTGCCTTTACATCTTAAGTAAGGACCTTGTCATATCGAATTCCGCGTAAGCAATACCCTGGGTTGCGTAAGATTGCGTAAGCATTTCGCATAAGCATTTCGGAAGTTTGCTCTGCGTAAGCAAAAGTGAGGGCCGCGTAAGCAGCGCGTAAGGCCTCGCGCAAGGAAAGTGATACGACATAGGGAGTGACTCCAGGTTTTTAGAGTGGCTCAAATGAGTCCAATCAAAACATCCCAAACCCATGGGTTGATGTTATAGTCACTGGGTTCATGCACTAGCCATGGGAGAGGCACTCCAAAGACTCAAGAACAGATGTGAAAAGCCTATGAACACCTGGCTAATGTTTCATACAGTTACATACATGCACGAATACATACTTAGACGGGTATGTGTGCATCTGTGTCTCGCATATCATAGTTTTTGGGCGAATTTGGAACCCTTGGCATTTAATGGACCGTATGTGGAACGGGCACTGGCCTTCCTAGGCCCCAGTTCGGCGCATGTGGCGATTGACGTGACGATCTGCGCGCGAGCGAGCCACTTCCTGGGGACTGCCACGTGACACGGCGGTGAAGAGGGTGGATGGGAGGGGTCAGAAGCTTTTTAGTGGGTTCTAAGGTTCGTTGGCACCTTACACCTACATGAATCCTCAAGTTTGGGGGTCCATGTAAACCACCAAACGGGATTATGCCATGAACTCTCCATGCGGTGAGTTATGGATGAAACGGCGATACGTTGATTCAGAGCTACATGTGGATCAGCGCCAGGTGTTTGCCGCGGATGTCCAGAAGTGTCCAACATGCTCATGATATCATGACTATGACTAGGACATCTTGACCGTGGAGAGAGAAACATTACATTCAGACTGGACTGGGGGGGGTAACATGTCCCGCAAGATCTTGCAAGACTTCCGCCAAAAGACATGGCAAGTCGACCTCCAACGAGATGTTTGAATCCAAAGTACGGTCTGCAGACCCAGATTTTGGTGTTCGGTCCATCACTAAGTCCAGAAATTCAATCGAGCGGAGATGGTACCAGATCCAACCAATTTCCAATTTGATTTCCTTTCAATAAACACGTGGCACACCTCTCGTGGTTTCTGCTCTTCGGTCCACACATAAAAGACATATCACCGAATGCTCCACCGACCCATCCGACGACCATCGGCTGCACCGGGGAGGTGAAGGCGTCACTCGCTCCACGGTTCGGAACTGGTTCACGGTTCGGCACGGCACCCGCGACAGAGGAGGAGTGTCATTGAGTCTCCCCGCAGAAGGGGAGACTCAATGACATCTCAAGACCTATATATATATATATGACTATTAATTGCATAATCTATATATATATATATGTGTGTGTGTATGTATATACACTCCTTGGACTAATAATGAAAGTGGACAAGCACTTATGTGTAAAGGAAACTGGTAATCCAAGGGGCCATGCCATCCACGTAAGCATGACAATTCCAGGGAGTGTAGGTCCGTGATGTTCCATGACTTTTGGGGGGGAGTTTGCTAGCCTAAGGTTCAGGATCTCAGTCCTCACTCAAGATCTTAGAACGAACCTTGCAGATGCGAAAGACGCCTCACCATCTTCTTTGGGATCGCAGCTGCGCCTCACCAGAGGCTCCACTTCCAATCTTTTGATCGCTACGGACCTACGGATGCGCACTTCGAGACGGATGTCTTGGAATTTCTTGGTATGTGGCTGTGAGTCATAACCTGGAACCCCAAACCCTTGTAGCTTGACCTCCCAGGTAGTGTATTCTGTTCATTCTGGGTGGTCATGTTATAATGCGGAGCCTGACGGCACACGGGATTCTTCTTCGTGCCTCAGAACATCCCCCAGATTCCGGTGTTGTTCCAGCTTGGAGCGTCGATCCAAGGGGGGGTCCAAAAGATCAAATCAAGGGGGGTCCCGTTGGAGCACTGACCTCCCAGCCTTCTTCCCATGAAATCTCTGATCCTTCGATTGGTGTTTTGGTCTATTTGGGGCGGCGCGCGCCTCCTTCGCGGCCAGGGAACCTGATCACTGACCACCGAGAACCATCCATCCCACGGCCGCAGGTCCTCCCTCTCTGCGCTCATTGGATCGCTCCGCTACGCCGCCAACCGCACAGGCGCTGGAGGGTGAACCCCCCGCAGGGCAAGCGGGAGTGAGTCGGCAGTAGCGAAGGAGGGTCGGCAGTGAGTCAGCGAGTCTCGGCCACAAAACCAGACTTTTGATTAAATAACCCCCACCTTTCAAAATGCTTTTATATCTCAATTGGAGGGTGTGATCAATCAACAGTCTACCTGACGACTATGCACTCAGGAGGACCTTTGCACAGATGGTCTCAAGTTACATACGGGCATCACAAAAACGCAGGGACGCGCGGCAAAGAAAATTTGCTCTCACTTTGGATGGCCAAATGTTCTATCTCCTCCCTTGTCAAGGGTAGCCTGTCTTGATATGCTTAAGATCGTGTAAGTTTGCATCCACGTGAAGGGGCTCCACGCAGTTTTACTGACCTGCGCCTGGGGGGGAAAACAGTCCTGGTGGCCACATGGGCTACTTGTACTCGCACGACAAAAACACCTTCTGGTGTAGGAAAATTGTTTTCCGTTCCTAGAGTCCTTGAGCTACACAAGCAAGCTTTTTTTTCCTACATTTTCCTACTAAATACTTCTAGAAAAGCCACCATGCTTGAAATGTACGCTTGTTTCCATCTTGGAACAACAGAGTTCAGACCAAAACCAGTACAATCAAAAGAGTAAACATAGTTAAGCATAGTCGTTCAGGCGTGGTCATGAGAAAGGATCATTCGACTCACTCAACTGGTCTTGCCAGTGCCATCATTTGCCATTGCACGCCGCCGGATGTAAAGTGCGGTTCCATGTCTATTTTGCCTGTTGGCTGATATTGGATGGTGTTTGTTGTTTTGGGAACGCCAAAAATGCGATGACTGACGATGACCACAGCAATTTCTACTTTCATCATGTGAGGTACAGAACAGCAAAACAGAAATTCCGGAGATAACAAAGAAACAATGAAACACCTAAATGACTAATTGGTGGGCTTTTTGGGATGCCCTGAAAACGCCTCCTTGTTCATGGACGTGATATGACCGTTTCCAGGTGAGACCGCGAGTTACTTCCCACGCTTGCCACGTGTGGATCTGGAGGAATACGAGTTGCTCGGAGATGTTGGCCCCCCCACAGCGTTTGTCGTGCGGGCCACGGGGCCCAGTGAGTCCGTAACGAATGGTGAGTCCGTCTCAAAGCCTTACATTGTTGTGAGTAATCACTAGGTTCCCTACTAAAATAGCAGCAATACATATATCAATGCGATATCCATACGTTCTTTGAACTTGTTCCCTTGCTTAAGAGCGGATGATGGAGCTTTTGAGAGAAGTTATCTTCCTGTTTCAACAATTGGGTTGAGAAAGGGCTTGCACGTGTGCATCCACGGGCAAACCTTGCAGAGTGTAAACTCAAAAAGGGCTCCCCTGTGTTCGCTTTGTTGGATCAAGCAGTTGCATGACATTTCGCCCGCCAAAAAAAACGATCGACTCTTGATTGGGTTGATCGTCCTCCCCATATGAATTCGCAGGGTTTTCTTCGGTTTTTCAATGGACATGGGGGGTGGGTTTGAGAGTCATCCAGATCGGATTTTTGGGCGATCCGAGGCTCGGGCTTTTTCCCCTCTCCTCGCTCGGAGACCTGAGCAGCTTGGGACGTGGCCGCGGTGCCTGCGGTGCCTGTGCCCGGTGGTGGAAACGAGTCTCAGTTTCTAGGAGCTTCATGGGTAGGGGAGGGTAATATGGGGTTGCCGTCCATGCACTGATTGGGTCCATGCACTGATTGGATAGGTAGCCCTTTCGCCCAAAAAGCATCAACAAATGCCTTCCGACCTACACTTCCCAACGTATCATGCACACTCAATCAGCACTGGTGACCAATGCGACTTGGACAACCAACGGTGGTGCACCAGTTCCGTGCGCTTCGCAGGTCGTTGCCGTCCGAAGGGGAGCTCCAGCACTTCTTCCATGGCCTTGAGGTGCAGGTTTCTTTCATCCACTGAGGAAGAAGGTCTTCAGGTGAAGGTCTCACGGTCTCACTCCAAGTCCATCACCCTGATTGTCTTCCGTCTTCTCCATGACGGGTGAGCGCCGAAAGGGCGCCGACCCGTCCGGACCGGACGCCGGGGGCCTGCGCCAGACCAAAGTCTCCGCGGCCTCGAGCCGGAGCTTCTTCGACTGCAGCGTGGATGCCCGACGCGAAGGCCGTCCACGGCGTGGAGTCCGGGAGACGTGGCGGTCCCGTGGTGGCACTTGGTCGGCGAGCTGGAAGGTCCAAATGGTTGGTGCTGCACTTGGGTGTTCCACCATGATCAAGTTTGAAAGCCGCCCCCCCAGTCCACATGGGCTATGCCGGCTGGCAGATGCTGGAAGATTTGAAGCCAACCAAGGAGTAAAGATAGGACCCCCGATTGAAGATCATTCGTTACGGCTCAAGACCTGCACCAGCCGGATAAAATTAAATCCAGGGGAGCCATATACAGATTCCTTCGGACATGAGCGATGTACGCTAGAATCGATGATGTTGAATCCAGACTGCATGGTACAAACATCCTGTTCAAGATGGCTTTTCCGAACAACCTTTTTGCTGCTGTGTGAGTTGGGCAACACAGGTGGTGCTTGATCATCGATCATCGTGAATAAGCGCGGGTCCGCGTGCGGGGCTCCGAGTTGCAGGCGGTTCAAGGTATCACCCAGCCAGCCAATGGAGACACCCAGCCAATGGGTCTTCGACAGTTTTGGTCCATTTCCCTTCTTCCAGGTGGTCTTTGGAAGCTCTTTCCTATGGTTTTGCCTGCTACAGGTCCAATTCGCTCTGCACGGCCCTGCAGCAGTTTTTTTGGGGGGGACGTTCGAGTCATAGGTTGGGACTGCTGACGTAGCGGAAATGAGACCACAAATCCCTTTTGAAGAGGCGGCTCCTTCCTCCCAAAACGCTATGTTTTCGGCTTAATTGGACTTCTACCTTTGTCAATTGCAGTGTGGCGGTGATTTTGGTCAGATGTTGGGGGTGACACTTGTCGAAGGATTCAGCGGGGGTAATGTTTGGTGGTTCTGAGCTGGTGATGAGCCGCGCCTAGTGGCTTTACCTCAATGCAGGCCAGCGTGGCTCTCCTAGATATGGCAGCGGAATGGCCATTGTCAACACCGTTTTGCCCTTTGGAGAAGAGAGGTGGGGCAGCCTGGAGCAAAACAGAGCAAACAGAGTGCTTGCAGTGTTCCAACCCTCCATTTGCGGGACCCCACAAGGACATGAATGATTAATGTTTGTTCACTTAACCAGGTTCTTTGCAAAAGGGATTGCAGGTTGGCGCCGTCACATGGTCCAACTTGCATTTGACATAAAAGGAAGAACGGATCCGCCCAGTCTCCTATGGTTTCTATGCACCTTCATTTCTCGGGGGTGCATTGGTACCTGCAGTATGTACCAGAAGACTGTAAGTACCTCGGAAAACGATACCCGTGGCGTATCGCTGAACTTCTTTTCCTCTAGGTGGACCACCTTTCTGAACCAACACCTTGGGCGACCTGATAAATGGCAGAGCAATCTTGGTTGATTAGATGCTCATGATGGCTCATGTCCCACTCTCTACTTTGGAGGCTCCTAGCGCCTCAGGGGGTCCGCACGATCCAGGACGTCGGCAGTGCTGGTCACCCGCGATTTGATCGAATGTGCCGCGCTGTGGGTGTTGGGGATGGGTGCGAAGTCCGGGATGGAGCTATGATCAGGGTTTGCAGAATGCATGGAGGAACCATAGAAGTTGGTCCTTCCGCGGCTCTGCAGTAATTAAGTCCTTTTACTAGGAAGTGGGTGGAGCATCTAGGGCTCGTTTCCAACGCTAGCCAGGTAGGCTGCGAAACTGATGCGACTGTCTGACAGGTTTCTCAGCAGGAGTTATAATGAGCGTAATGAGTAAAGATTTCTAGATTGAAGGATTGGTCATGATTGGTCGTTTTCATAAGAGTACAGTCATTTCGGACCACTTTGCAGTCCCTTTTGCTCCAAACATCTGTTCCCTCACCCAGAAAGGGACCTCGCGTTGTAGTAGTGTTCTTCCATCAGGATCAGGAGAAAAACATCGGGCACTTGAAATTTGGGAGGGTTAGTTTGCTTCAGTTATGAAATTGTACTCCATTTCTGCGCACACATCTCTGATCCTTTTCTCCCTTCTTCTTGATCGACCCCCTTGGCCCCTCAAATCTTTTTAGCACCCCATGGCCCCCCTTCACGCTGCAGATGCTTGGCAAGAGTCAGCGTGGTCATGTCCACCTGTGACCTGGCCGCACCGAGCAGTGGGAGCGGCACAACTGATGAGATTTGGTCCTCTTGGAAGCCTCACATCTGGCACAACAGGACTACCTGCTTTTCCGCCGAGCCGAGGCCATGAAACTCAGCATCCACCATGAAACTCAGCATCCACCAAGCCGACCCCATCTCGAGAATTGGACAAATCCTGGGTAGGCCGAACATGGAAAGGCTTCAACCTACGGTAGGCAGAAGAGAAGGACTCGAAGGACCGACGATGCGACCATTTGAGACCTGTTCCAGAACCCCTAAAAAAATCCTCACTATAGACTGGCGAAACTTCCTCGCAAATCTCCTGGGGGGCGAAACTTCCCGCACCATTCCTTTGCGAGTCGAGTCGCACCGCACACGTTTCGGTCCAATTGGCCGGGTAGCGCCCTAGGTGGCGCTGATCGCCTATATGCAGTTGCTGGTGGGATTGCAGCCACCTGGGCTAGACATCAGCCGGGGAGAGTGGAACTGACGTGAAGGAGTCCACTGATTTATTTGCTAGAAAGCAGGAGTTTGGGATGCAGAGAGTCTTTGTCAATTGGGGCGGGCAGATGTAATGCAAACCCCGGATTAATAAACCGCCCCCCCCACATAGAAGGTCAACAAGATCCAGAAGGTCTAAGGTTACCATTCATGAGGTCCACTCCCCCTGAATAATATGCTATGAGGCCATTAGACCATGAAAGTTGATACCTGGGGTTTTGAGAAGGGATTGACTGATGAGCATGAGGCCTGAATAGGTTTTGGGATTGTGCTTAGTTAATCTATGTTAATCTAATAACTAAAATTAAGTAACTATATTTTCTGGGTTGTCTGGCTCGGTTTGATTGGGAGGGTTTCTAGATGACAAGTACACTATTAGGGTGGAATTTAGCTCCAATAATACTTTCAATTTGGGTGAATTTTCGGGGCTGTGTGGGCTCGGTTTAACTAGAGGGGTTTATTAATCATATACTTGATATAAGTGTAGATGGTAGCTTGGGAAAACCAAACCCTATCGTTCCTAAAGATAATCCAAATATCGCCAGGATCTCAAGGCAGTCTGGTCTTGGTGGTGAACAACTCATTTTTGGAGGTTTCATGTTTTGGGTTGATGTGTGAGGACCGTGACCTCCTTTTAAAGGGTTCTGATGAGGATTAACTTGTTCTGGCTGTATGCCGAACATGTTTCACACCTGCTTTGGTGTAAGCTACACGTGCAAGTGTCCTCTTCATATAACCCTTGAGTTTTCCACCACTACTGGCTTGGACAGATATTACTGGAAGCCCTTTGGGAAAAGATCATGCGTTTTCGGGTCAGTTTTTGTTAGAGCTCGGTATGCCAAGATTTCACTGGATCAGAAAAGAAATGACCCAAAAAAGCAGTGAGCTCACTGGATGTTTGGTGAGAGCTCACTGCTCAAACGCTTTTGTTGATTCCTTGGTTTTGGTCCCCCTCACCTTTCGCTCCATCCCGGCACCAGGAATGCCAGTCGCTGGGGCCCGGCGGCAGGCCGGCGGCCCCGTGCGGTGGAAAAAGGGGTCGCTGCGTCTTCAGGTCCGAGCGTCGTCGGATCATTTATCGAGACAGAATGGGAGCCACCGGAGTAAGAAAAACATATAAGATGTACAATCCAATGTTGAAGTCGTGGCGGTTTTGTGCTTTTGAAGCGTTTCCATTGGGATTTGAATGCATGGATGTCGTGGCGGTGTCGCGTTTGGTTGGCGTGGCGGTGTCGCGTTTGGTTGGGGAGGACAAGGCAGCAGCGGCAAACAAAACGCCGATCAAGCAAAACGCCGATTGCGCAGGAAAACAAGTGGGGAGACAGGTGGGGAAACAGGAGACGAGGCAGCAGCGGCATACAAAACGCCGATCACAGCAGACAAGCGGGGCGACAAGAAAGAAAGAAAGAAAGGGGATGTGCTCATATACATGATGAGGTAACTAGAGGTTTTCATTGTGGGGGCTTTCCTTGCTGGCATGGGTGCTGACCTCGTGCACCCTCTCGTTCACCCTTGTTCCGCGGTACCTTTTTGCAACTTGTGTGACTTAGGATGCTTCAAGTAAAGTGCCCAGAGCCTGGTTCAAAGAGATGTCAAGGGACCAGAAGGAGATTAATAACATCATTGCTAAATCATTGCGTGTGCATGCAAGAAGTTTGTTCTGAACACATGACAATTGCCAAGGAAGGGCTTTCAGCACACATCAAAAACATTGCCGAAGCGGGAAGCTGGTTTTGCAAGGACTATGCCGGGCCCCCCCCTCCTGGCGTCGTGTTTCCATTGGGGAACACAAGTTTTTTCCGACTATGCCGTGACTTCCGCGGCTGAGGACAACCCATGTTTGGCTGTCATCATGAGTGAGAACACCACGCGTGAACTCCGATCCGTTGAACAGAAACCTTGCCAAAAGCAATTTTAAGCACATTTCATGACTGGTAGCTGGCGTTTTGGGATTGTAGAAACACTGAGATGCGTCAAAGGCACATGGGTTTCAGCGGATCGTAGCGCAAAGGATGCTCGATGTGTTGCACGCGTCGACCAGTGCGCCCTCTCATTGACGAAAAATCCAGGCTTTGACCCAACAAGCCCACACGAGCTCTACCTGGAGACGAGTTGCGGCTTCGTGCGTTGATCGGTTCGTTGGAGGCGGCTGGTAGGCCTGGGTGAGGTCGCTGTCGCCACGATGTCGCCGATGTCCTTTGGAAACGTGAGGTCGAAACTATGATTCATGTATTCCTCTTGAACCCTCTTGATCAATAAGCCTCCACATGAAGAGGTTTTGGCAATCCATGTCTGGCGGGGTAATTTTTACGAGTTTGCAGGCAATCTTTGAGTGAAGGCTGTGGAGAGTGGAGAGGTCCTTGAGGAACCATGGGGAGATGTGGACTCCTGTATATAGAAACTAAGATAAGCATAGACAAGCTAAGTCTCCCGAACTCAGATCGCAACCACCTACATCTTTTCCCCATCCTTAGATCATGTGCAGTCATATGCAGCAAGTTGATCGTCACAACCTGCTGACCTGGGCTGCCATGTGAGTTTGGAGGGAAGGTGGTGACATGATACAGTAGATAATAAAGATCTGGGATGAGACGCCTAAGAGGTGCATTGCGTAGGGAGATCCCAGATTCGACGCCCTGCTGGGAGTCCCGTTTTTTAAGGCCCAAACAGGCTTGTAACGAAGGACGTCACAGAGGTCCAGAATGACTTGTAAACCCTTTGAACTCCTTGCTGTGGCACTTGCTCCATGTTCAAGGGTGGCCTGGAAACACCTAGAATTGACACTTGTATGAACTTGGAATTTGGTGTGGAAGGTCATGCATGGTGTGCTTGAATCTCCCCAAACCAAAATCCCACCATGGGCTCAAGGAGAAGGTGCGCTTTGTCTACAAACTCTGGCAGATGCTGTCGATCGGGTCACTTGCTCCTAATGAGGACGTCATTTGTCAGGGTATGTGTATGCTATGGGGCCACGCGTGTTTGCAAAGGAAAGTCGTCTTCCAAGGGACCATGCCATCCACTTCCATGTTGGTGAGTTAGGGTGTAGCTAGGAGTGCCAAAATTGTGGATGGTTGACGCTCGAAGACCTATCCATTCCTTGGATAGGGATAGTGGACCAGGACTGTCCAACTCCTGCACCACATCATGTCAAGAACTCAAATGGCCGGAGCTTTGGGCTGGAACCTTCGAACGAACCACCTTCAACCGGACCTCCAAAACCGGACCTTCATCAAGCGCATCAAGCAGCAAGCCGGACCCTCCTGACCTTGGGAGGCCTCGAAGCGCGAAATTGCTTACGTAGGTTGATTTTTGTTTTCCTTATCAGATGATCCATGATAATCCCATGGGTCGTAAAGTTGTATGCTCTACGGCTCTACGACATTGAAGTCCTTTACAGGTGCGGACGTTTCTGGTTGGGTGGGCTAAAGATGTCGCATTCAATAGCTTCGGAGGATGGTCCAGTCCAACTGAAGGTCCTGGAACATGGCTGCCTGGTCAGCACCGGGCGTGAAGTATGGAGTTCAGCAACTGCACCTTGGATGGGGTGAGTGGATTCATGCGAGGTCGGGATGCATCAGGGCCCCCGGTTTGGGGTGGTGCATGGACACCATCTGAGAACATCAGAGGCTAGGATTCGACACCCCTTAGGGATCTTAGGGGTCCCATGAAATTCATTGATTGATGTTTCTCGTGGCTTGGTCCACTGGTCTTCTTTGTCCTTGTTGCTTGTTCAACATGTTGTTCTTGGACACATCCTTCTTTCATGGTGTAAGAACTTTCACTGGTCGTTTCATGTGAATTGAGCAGATGGACTGCTGAGATCTACTTGGTTGCAGTCACAGGGTGGTGCTTCCTCCATTCAAGCCTTGTGGCCGTGTGCCATGCAGTGGGTAGCCCATTGGAATGCTTTGAAACAGGCACCGGTATGCCAAAAGGAGTGCAATTGACCAGGCATTGATTTGTATAAGTCAGAATCACAGAGACCCTGGCCTGGCTGAATGTGTATCAAAGGAGCCCTCATCAAAGCAAAATAGATCAAAATAGAGCTCACCTCACACCAGTCCGGGCTAAAAGAACCGTTTGGCTGAAGGTTAAGGAGCCTGGCGCAGCTGTGAGAGGCCAAAGTGGTGCCCTCTTGTGGAAAAGGATTGTCCGTCTAGCTCGCCGTTTCCAAGTTCTTGCGAGTTCTCAAGGGCGCATATGTCTTGATACAGCGTCCATCGTGCCACACTGACTTAGATTTGTTCTAGCCGCAATCTAGTGCTAGCATTGGTGATGCTTGTAGTGCTTTACAAGGGACGTTGCATTTTTGACATCATCAATTGTTGCCACTGCGATTGAAATAATCTGTCCCGTGAACCTTGGATTTAGTTTAGCATTTATGCATCGACTGCCGCCATTTTGTGCAGCTGCAAACAACGTTATAGATGCCTTGCATGATTATGACCGCCCTGTCAGAGAACCTTTCTTGGCGCAACCCACCTGCCTTCAATGTTGACAGAAAATGACTGGCGCTCGGATGTGGATTTCGCAAGCCCCACAACATGATCTCACGAAGCGGGATGAGTGCAGGAGCAGTGTGCAACCCACCATCCCTGGCGCCATGAACATCACGTTTCTTTGCTGCTTTGATCCCCCACTCGTTGGCCTCTAAAAAATTCACCAACATGCCATGCACCACCGCCACAAACAGCAATAACGACAAGCAGGACGAGAGATCAGCAATTCCCGCTGTTCACCCGTAGATGTTTCGATGTAAGTCCTGCCGTCCTTGCCCATGGAAACGTTGAGCCCATGGAGGTGAGGAAAGCGACAACGTGGACGGGGGAACGTCATCCCACCCGTGATTGGTGAAATGCGTCCCGTCCTCAAGATGGTTCTACACCTCCATCTTTGTGGATTCAACAACAGTCAGCCGTAGCTAGCTTGTGTGCTTAGCAGGGAGCTAAAGATGCTGCCGGGGGTGTCCACATTGCTTTTTAAGTAGCGAGCCCATGAGCTACAGGGAGTTCCCCAACCACTGGCTAGCTCGGTGTGTATTTTCATGGATCCCTTTAGTTGGACCAAACAATGCATACCCGCCTGGTCATCCTCCGTGGGAGATGGACCAAACCTGCACCATGTAGTTTGACCTTCCAGGTAGGTCAACCAAGGCATCCTGGCGCCAGGACCAACAGCCAGTTGAAGAGTGGTGTCAGTTCCATGTGGTGGTGTGTTCCATCATGTTCCATCTATTTTCCTTTTGTTCACATGGGCCGCATGCGCCCTCCATGATGACATTTACTATCAGGAACCAAACTATCTTGAAGGGCCTGGCTTCAGGTTTTGTATGGTTTTGTGCGATGCTCAAATACCATTTTCATTGAACACTTCTCACAAACTCAATGTTTGTTTAGTTAGGAGAGTAGACAGTCTTATGGTTTCATCATGTAACCGCGCGCTACTCATGGGAAAACAAACTCCACACAAAGAAACGTACCCATGGAATAGCACGAGATCTCAGTCAGCTTCCATCAATCAGAGCTGACACACCCGACTCAGATGGGTGGATGTTCACCCTCCCTGCAACAATCATGGAAGTTTCAAGGGGCCATCGTCCACGTAACCATGATGGTTTCAGGGAGGGTGCATATGTTTACCCAGCTGGCGATTGGCCACCGGCGATAGGAGCGACAGCTTTGATAGCTGATTTGCTTTGGAACTTTATAACTTTGCAACCTGAGCATGTTCGGCAACAGTTGGCAAAAACACTCAATCATTATAGGGAACAGGTGCTAGCAGGCCATTATTGGCAATCAAATAAGTTGCTTGCTGAGTGATTGAGTGCTGCTACTGGAATACCAAATGTCTGCTTAGCTGATGAGCTGCCAGCTCCTTTGGTCATTTGACAACAGGATGCAACACGCATGTGGCAAAGTGTAAAGACTATATAAAAGACAAGAAACAAAGTAAGTATATAATAACGCTTGTGGACTTTTACTCCCTAAGACTTTAGTAGGCACAATGGAAGACTTGGGTTGTAGATGATGTCGGCGATGGCTCTAAAACAGGGTACTTGGATGCACACGGTACTTGGCACCGGATCGTTGACTACCTGGAGGATATCCCTCCTCTTTTGGGTAGCCAATATAGGTCGTTTTAGGAGCCATTCTAGGTCGCTTTAGGAGCCCACAGGAGCCAATATAGGTCGTTTTGGGACACCAAAGGTCATGTTAGGAGCCAATAGGTTGTTTTTCAAGAGCCAAGAGGCGGTTTTGAGAGCCAATTTGTGGTTAAAACTCATGTTTAAACCCCCTCCGCACGGTCGCACCGTTGGTGTTTCGTCGTTGCGCGGCCAGTCTTCGTCTTCCAGGCCCAGTTTCGAGTCCTCCGTGCAGGTGTGAAGATGTGTGAAGTGTCGTTGGGACTTGGGTGGCTTTTCTGGGTGGTTTCAGGCCCTCGTTAGTTTTCCGACTCGACCGGCAATGCCTTGGGAGGATCGAAATTCATCGAGCCCGACGTCATCATGTTTCTTGATTTCAATGTTGCGTTTTTTGTTTTTTTCTCGGGGGACCTGGTGATGTTTATTTTGCCAAACTGAGTGAAGAAACTCGGGGAATATTTGTCTTTGTGGATTTCTTAAGGCAATCCAAGGGACCCATTGAAGAGGATATTTTGGCGGCCAGGTTACCTGGCCCTGGCAGGGTTGTCCTTCCCAGAGACATCCAGGGATTCTGGGAGCCTTTCCAACCCCAGACACCGCATGCATGGAATACACTTGCATTATGGTCACACAAATGATCATCCACTAGATTGTGTTAATGGGACCAGCCCCAATAATACTCTTCCATCTGGCAACCCTACGCCTACCAAGCTATGTTGGCAGATGGCCCAGCTGCGCTGCAGACTCAGATACGCAACAAGCCACGTGGTGAGGGGGAGCCTTGGATGTGCCGAGCATGTCGCAGGTGGCTCGACTTCTGGGGCGAGGCTCCTTTGGAGAAGTATCGGCCTCAGACGATGAGCTGGGCATAGCTGACCGTGTTGGACCATTTCCATTTGAAGCTTTCGGGTGGAAGTGGTTTGGGGACCCCAGCACGGGATTCGACTGGGTTTGCACATTTCTGCGAGCAACGATCCCTCGAAGATCCTCTCACGGGTGTTGATGAAGCAATTTTTCCCCACCACACTCATCTTTAGTGGCATGGTTGGACTGTGCATTCATTATCAAGAGATCGGGATAAGGATGGAGAAAGAGTCACATATAAGTATGGTTTGAGCAAGTACGCTATGGCAAAAGAGGCAGACCGAGTATGGATCACTTGTGTCCTGCAGTCCTGATGCAACGTGATCACCTTGTGTACTTTAGGGAGGCAGCTGGCAAATGGGTCACGGTAACGAAGCGCACACCTGTCGCAGGTTCTGTTGGCCAAAGTGGCTGGGGAATCTGCGAAGCGCTCAAAGCTAGGGGTGCAGTGGGAGGGAGATGGAGGGAGCCTGTGTCTAAGGCGGGGCTGCAAGAGAATCACCCAACATGTGTCAGAAGACTGAAGACCTTCTTCAAATTCGACCTTGTGTGGCCACTGAGAGGCCTGGTCCGGTGTCGGAAGATCATGCTCCCCTGGAGAAAATAGATAGGCGGACACTCACCTGGATTAGGATGGAACAACTGTTGGTGAAACGGCGCGCATGTGTGCATCCACACGAGTCACTCACTAGCCCTGTCCTGAAGAGGCACCTTGTGATAGATGTTGAGAACCTTATGGATCCACCCTTTGAGAGGGTGATGTCTTCGACCCCGAACGGAGAGGACGATGACACAAGGCGGGTAGAGGTCGTACTTGACCTGAGAAGGTCTGTGGATTGAGACTTCCGCTGGGCCAAGGTGGTCGTTTTTTGCTTTTGTTTATTTTAGTTGGGTGCCGCAGCCGGACACGCTTGTTTGCAAGCTGAAAGGGCTGAGGGAAAGTCGGCTTTCGCACTCTGAACCTTTTCGGCCGAGGGAGGGGGGGGTTTGAAAAACAGGACCGCCGTGCCACGCCGTCTCCTAAGGGGGGAGGCCCGATGGACGGCTCTCCCCAAAGGGGAGAGCTCAGCAGTGGGGATGAACTCAGCAGTGTCGTGGAATCCTAGCCTTTGAGCCATTTAAAGCTCAATAAGTCAAGCTGACCTACCTGACGAACTCTGCAAGACCTGTCAATAAGTTGTGGACAGTGGACTAATGGAGACCGTGTTGGTTGCATATTTCGTAGAATATCAGGACCAGCTTGGTAGGTTGGATGTTGATTGCATCCAGGGTATATATGTTGACCTATATTTCGCCTAAGCTCAATTCAGCTTGGTTGCCGTTTCCAGTGCAGTTTCCTTAAAATCGGGACCGAAAGCAAACCCACACAGTAGATATTCAATTCAGCCCCGACGTCTCGCACCGGGAGGTGCACCTACTTTCTTGGCCCCCCCACAGGGGCCACCCGACCCAGACACGATCGAGACCACGCGCAGTGAACGGCCGAGCAAGCCGGCAAGCAACGGCCCGGCCGGTGAAAGCGAAGGATCCGGTGAACCTCGAAGGATCCCGTGCCATGGACTTCGGAAGCCTGACGAATCTCACTGGTTTGACCGAAGAAGAGGAGGCCTCTCAGACCATCAAGGCCGCTCAAGCCACAAATCATGTCTTGAGCCGCATGGGGTTGGGGAGTTGGGGGTTGTTGGGTGATGTTGGGAGAGGCGTCTGGATTGAGCAGAGGTGCTTCGCGTCGAAGGCTTAAAGAGGATGACATGATGACAAGGACATTGGGGAGATTGTAGCAAGATTTCAGGTTTCAGGAGTATGGTAGTTTTGTGCTTAACTGATCCTATAGCCAAGTGGGCCAAGTGTGTTGAAAGATGGAGAGAGTTCCTTCGGGAGTGCGGCAGTTTTGTGAGGAGTTTTGTAGCCAAACCCCAGCCTAAACTGGGAACATACACCTGGGAAGATTAACATGGAACATCATGGAACCTGAAAATGGACCTTTGAAAGACTATATGTATTCCTCTACCAACCAATGGTTTTCAGGGTCCATGCTAGTCTTCCAGGTAGCTGAGTGTATCGCTACTAGGAACAAGTGCATTGCTACTATTAGTAGCTAATTTGCTA